CACCCGCAAAGAGGGAGGGACGCTAACCAGGCGGGTGGGGGGGGGGGATGAGCTCCCTTGCGGGCGCACGCGCGCGCGCGCGCGCGCGCAGACCCGGGTGGGTAGTAACGGAAAAGGACCGGAAGGGGGCCAATAATCCCGGTCTCTGTGAGGGGGCGGCGAAGGGCCGGGCAGGAAAAAGTATGCCACGCCGGGGGGCGATCTCAAGTGAGATCGGCGACAACACTCGAGGATATGCCGAAGAGGGGGTCGCTGACAGAGAGGGAAAAGGGAGAGAGCCCTCACTGAAGCGCACACACACACACATACATACACCACACATGCACACATGCACACTTGCGTTAGATGTGGCACCGACATACAGCCCATCCACGCCGATGGCTGGCTTGTTTTCCTAAATCTGACCCCGAGGCAAGAGGGACACCGCCCGAGAGCGTCTCGGCACTTACGAGGAACGATGCCCGTGGGGAGGCGACCGGGCGGGCAGGCGAGAGAAGGACGGAGGGGGGGGCGGCAGCAAATGCGAGCACGCCCCCCCCCCCCCCATCCGGCCGGATCGCCCGCTGCCTCCCAGTCGGGAGCCGGATATGGGCGGCGCGCGATCGCGCGCCGCCCACCCCCAGGGAATAATGAGCCGGCGGCCAGACACAAGGGCAGGGGCCAAATAAAGGCCGCGTAGCTCGCGGCCCGCTGGCAGCCGGGCACGCCGGCCGGGCCGGGCCAGTAAAGTGGGCAGCCAGCGAAGACCATTGGCATGTGTCTATGGCCAAGGCGCGCTCCTGGGAACTGGTCACGTCACCAGGTGGTGCGTGCTGTGCCGGGTCACGCCGCCGGCACGTGTGGGCCAACTCCGAAGGACATCTTTCGCCCACAATTGGCCCGGATGAAATGTACTTCACCGGAAGAGATGGATGTGTGGTGGGGTGCACGCGCGCGCGCGCGCGAGCGCCCTTCATCGGCAATGGACGCGATCTCCGCGCGCGAGAGCCCCCTTCTCCCCCCGGGGGCCGGGGAAACCGGCGGGGGATCGAGGCGCGGTCGCGGGGCGACGAAAAGTGGGGCAGATCTCTCCCTGTGTTCGAC